AACAAAAATCATGGATGGTCGATGGTCGAACACGTTCCATTGGGAGCCATGCCAGTTATGCAAGTTCGTTAGTGACGGATCAACAGTTCTATTTAAATTCCATTTATTAACAGTCGGCTTCGTTATATTGGCACGCCTTCGTGTTGTCAATAAAACGTCACGTACAATGTTCCATGCATCGATGGAACGACTTCTTATTGACTTTTAATCCTCCGTAATGATATGTTAAAAATAATCATTCGTATTTTTAAAACGTGAAAAATTCATCTGCACGCGACAGCTGCTCTCGAAATCGTGAAATGGAATAAATCTTAAAAATACTCGATCGAAATTGCATACAATTGTGCATGGAATATCGTGGGAAACGGTGATTCCTTTCTTCTTTTTTTTTTTTTTTATTGAATGGAGAAGAATAAAAGCAGAAAGAATTATTATTTCGAACGTGCAATGTTTCATTTTCAGAGAAATTCATTGTCAGTGAAAATTTCTTGATATGATTATATAAATTATAATATATTCCAGATAGAAATATTTTTAAACTAAAGAAACTTTGAAGAATCTGTATTTGAATAACTTAACGAATTATTAAACATTATATATAATATATTTGTTTGATTTACTTTTTAAAGAAAAAATTATCTCACATGCATCTGTTGCATTTCTGTGAAAATAATAATTATTTCGATTTTTATTAATCAATTGTAATTATTTTAATTTTAATAATAATTAATTCTACCGTTTAAAAGAAACTGAAAAAAAAAATTTATATTTATTAATTCCTAATTTCATAAGGAATAATCTTGCATTTTGGACTAGAATAACGAACAAAATTACACGCGAATAAATATAAGTTAATTTTATGAATTAATTTAAAATTTTATTATTTATCTAAATTTTTTAAATATTAAATATTATAATCAGTATTTTAAATTGGAGATTTTGTATGTTCTTACATTCGTTTACATTTAATAATTTTAACAGAAATGCAGATACATCATTGTCATAAAATTTCTAAGAAGATTCAATTCACATCAAGGCTGTAATTCGACGTAACAGAAATTTGGTATTCGTTTAATTTTGTTCATCAATATCGATTGACATTCCCAACTATTAAACAATTTTAATCTCGCTCGTTCACGTGAACTACACGATGGTTAACTATTAGGCGGGTATACTGCCTTTCCTTTATTCTATTAAAAACTTTAGTCTATTTTCATGACACACGGTAGAACGCGTTTTTCTATATAGGCTTGCTTATTAAATACGCTCCATTATCGACAGTTTGTCATGACATTTACAGTTATCGTTTATTAAATAGAGAAAAGTTAACGCCTCAATCACCTCAGAAATAAATAGAATCTGTTTTACCCACATAACATTTTTCCTCCTATAATATGGTTTCATAAATATCCATGATGAAACTTGCGATTTCATTTAAAGATTATATTTTCACTCTTATAAATTATGGTTTATTTTCTTTTTTGCAACAAGTAACAAATGGTTTCGTTATTTATATTTTTTTTAATTTTTGAATTTCTTAATTTTTTTGCACACTGTAACATTATCGCAAATATCATTTAATTATCGACCAATTTCTCTATAATTTCCAACTCTTTGAAAGCATAATATAATATTTGATTTATTTTCATTTTCCATCTAAAAGGAAAGCGCAGATTTTACAGATTTAGCAAGTAATAGTATTTACTTTTTTCGTTCGCAAACGAAAATATAAAAACATATGCGAAAATACGAAATTATAAAGTGAATTTTGTAATTAAATATTATAAAGTGTATTTGCTCTTCGTTATTTATTATTTATTTCTCGTCTACTTTCTTTAAATAATCGAAAAATAATATTTAGAAAAGTGATTATAAAACAAATATTTTATTAGAATTACATCGAAATAACGCTTGTTATATTTTTCATGGAATTCTTTAAATTCTTTTTTTTATCATTTGACAAAGCATATCGTAAAGTATCCATCTTACTCACTAAACATAAAAATTTCTCATTTTCAATTTCAAAGCTTCGGCCAATATCAATTATCTACAAATATCTGAAACTAAAACGACTAACATTCTTGTTTACTACTGACACCAATAAATATGACACCAGTCTTTAATGATTTTCAAACAATTGAATACTAATTTCATGATACATCAAAAAAATTGCTACCCAAAATCGATTGTATAGGAATTTTTAAATGAATAGAAGTTGACAAGTAAAAAATCGAAGTCTTAAAATTATACATGTAACATCTTTATTAGAAAACAGAATAATTCAAATTGCTATAAGAATATCATAATCTGAAACCTTGTTTAAGAATTCAAAAACCAATATATATCACGTTATATACTTCACGAATCTCCTTATTAAGCCACTATCGAATTACTGAAGTAATTATAACTTAATATACACATCAATTAAAAATTTAAACAATAATAAACTCGAATTGTTCATAATCTCTGAACAATTCTTCAGTCGCTAACGATCGATATTGATCGAAGGATATCAAGATCCATCACACGTATCATTGAACAAAATCAGATTTTTCAACCAATCGTCTCGCGATTCTTACTTTTCATCGATTCAACGGCAACGTAACGCGTTGTATTCGCGATCAGTTTCGCGCCAGAAGAGAGGGCGAGACACGTGGCCTCGAGACGCAGAAACGCGTGCACACGTTCGTATCGAGCGTACCGTTCCCAGCCGAGCCGAGAGGGGAAAAAAGTAAGTGGATACAATGAACTCAAATCGATCGTTGTTACACCAGTTGCGCCGATGCAACCCGTGTACGTGTACGTGTGACGTTACACACGACACATTGTAGACACGCACCACGCAATCTGGGCTTGCGACGACAGGCAGATCGGTCGATCGATGATAACCGATGGCAGAGAGCGAAGAACAGAGAGGTTGGCTAGGGGGTGGAGAAGGAGGACGTCGTTACGGAAGAGCTGTGGAGCGACAGGGGTGGGTGGAGGGATGGTGGAGGGGTAGTGTCGAAAATCAGAGGAATAGAGGTTTCTCTCTCTCTCTTATTCACTCTCCCTCTCTCTGTTTCGACGGACGGAGAGGGAAAGAGATGGAAAGAGTTGGGAGGAGAAACCACCAGGTTGACCTTGGTTGAACCACGATCGAAGTGGCGCGGTCCTTGAAGCCTTTGCATTTGTGGACCTGTGTCGAATCCACGTGTCCGTTGCCGATCAGAAGGGACTGGATAAGCGAGAGAGATCCGAGGCTTGGTTAAATGACACGTTGCTCGGTGGCGAGGCTTAATCGTCGGTCGCGTGCAACAAGTTTCGCTGCACGGTTGAACGGGAGAGCGCGCGACCTCGCGCCACGTGACGTAAGTAAATGTCCATAGGGTGGAGATTGCCGATGAGGTGGCTGTGGATAATGAGAATGAGATTCTTTGGATCGAAGGATTGATATCGAGGGATTTTTAAGAAAAAAAAAAAAGAAAAGAAAAAAGGAAGGAAGGAAAGGAAGTCTCGCGAGATATGTCTCGATTAATAAATTTATCAGGCTTCTTATCCTTGGAGTGCTATTTACACGAAACCTTGGAGAAGAACTTTATGATGCCTGGAAATTCTTCTGTTCGAGAAATGTTTGAGCAAAAAAACTGGAGGCTTTTATTAATCGTTGGATTCGAGCAACTTGTATATTGCTTCTCTTGTGTTTCTAATACGGGTCAGGTTGTGCGAGACGATTCGGGGCATGAAAGTTGGATTCTACGCAAAAATGAGACGAGAAAAGGGAGGAAAAATTTTTTTCTATGCTTTTGAGATCTCGAGAAAATTAAATCAAATTGAGAATATTTTAGCTAGTTTTAGATCGAACAAATAATCAATAGCCGAAAATGCAATTTAAAATATTTTTTGGATGACTACTTTTTGAAAAAATTCAAAAATTCGTTTTGAAAGAATTTTCTGCTTCTAAAATTTTAGAATTCATTTTTGCGTTTTTCCTGTCTCGAAACACTTCGCGCAAAGCTTAATTTTCAACCATAGAAACGATTAGTTAACGCTTAAAGGGGGTAGTATCGAGAACTTTTGTCGAAAAACGTAAATAAAACGCAACAATTTGAGGGTTGCGCGTGGTTCATGCACCCTATATCTATCTATATCCACGCACGCTTTCAAGGACGTGCACGTGTTGTAAATCCGATAACCCTGCTCATAAAAATTCACAAAAGTTACACCTGTTCACCTGTTTTTCCACGAAATCACATATACCTTACATAGAGCCATCCTTCCACCTACAAACACATCCACGCGAGCCTGCACCTATACACACTTCCACGCGCTCCACATATATCTCCTTTCACCGCTCTCAGCTAAATGTTTCATAAAACGCAACAATCAATCGTACACGCAAAAATGACAGACGTCGAGGCAAATCTGCGATCCTCCCGTCTGCAATCCGCCAGGATATGGTAGAGCGAGAGCAAGAGAAAGAGGAAGAGAAGAGGAGGAGGATGAAACGCGCGGCGAAGAGGAAGAAGGATGCATTATCGGGCACGAGTAGCTCGGCTTCAGCCGAGACCTTCACCGAGACCCAGTTGCTCGACATTGCCCCTGCTGTATCACTGCCGCACCCCGCTCTTCCGCTCTTCGCAAGCGGCAGAAGCGGCAAAAACGGTCCAACCAACCCCCTACACACCGTAGCAATTGAACGTGTCGAGGCACGGCAGCCTAGATCGGCACCCTATACCATGTATATATATATATATATATACATACACAAACACATCGTCATGATACTCCCTTGCCTTGCCACCGTCCCCTTCACCCCTTCCTCCTCACCTTCCCCCCCAGTTCAATTCTCCTTCAGTAGGTGTGCGTGTTCACCCTGGCCTAGAGATTGCCTTGTTCTCCTGTGACGTGTTCTCCTGGCCAAGGAACGGATGTGCACGGGGGTGAAGGAAGAGAAGAGAGAAGAGGAGGGGGGATAGGGGGATGTATACGCACGCGAGGGGTCAAGGAGGGGGAGGAGTGAGAGGGGGGGAAGAAGGATGGAGGGCTCAAGGGAGAGTGGGAAAACGCAGGCGCGGACGCAGACGCAATAAGTGGACGAAACGGCGCCGAGCATTCCGGCAACGGCAGACAACGCGGCACGATCAAGCCGAGGTGTAATCCATCGTCGAGCATCGCCTTACTTCGTCGTATACTCTTATAGCGTGTAGACACAGGAGAGGAGGCAAGGATATGGGTGTCGTTAAGACCGCCTCGGAGAGCGTCCTCGAGGACAACGTGGTCCCCAGCGAGGAGGCGAATTATTCCGTGCAAGGTCATGCCGGTAAGTTTTTCTCCTTTTGCGTCTTTTTACGTCTTTTCTTCTTCATTTTTCTCCCCCTTTTTCTTCTTTCTTTTCTTTTTTTTTTTTTTTTTTTTTTCTAATTTTCGTTCCTGTTTCCCGCGATGCTGAGCGGGAGTTTCGTGTGGCCTGTTCGCGCGCGTGAGTGATATCGTCGCCACGCGAGCGATAACGAAGTGAGGAGTGAGGAAAGAATAATGAGTCGAAAGGAAACCGCGTGTCCGGCGTGGACACGATAAACCGTGAACGGGATAGCGCGGATACGATTGAATCGTGGACGAGAGGAAGCCGCTTAATCACGGCGAGAATTTAAAGGCGATGTGGCGAGCCGCCCACACGAGTTGCTAACAGGTGTTTGAAGATACAGATATACTGGCCGCGCTCTGCCTATATACGTTACTCGCCGCGTAGTCGAGTAAGCATCGAGGTGATGTTTGATATTCCGTGAATCGTTCGTCGTTTCTCCTATTGGTATCTATTTCGCATTGGATTCCCTTCGAAAATTCACGATCGAGTATGATTGATCCCGAATAAAATTGGATCTTTCGGGTAAAATCGATCAATTTTTGTTTCGAGATGATCGTAATTAGGGAGGGTGCGTTTAGGGGGAGGGGGTGACTTTTGTTTTCGACCGATAATTTTGAATCGATATCACGATGTTAAGGAGAACGGAATAAGGAAGTGACGAGATATAGGAACGTTTTACCTGTTGAAGCGAAGAGTATGCTATAGCATGTAACGAATTATGGATCGTTTCTGACGCGTAATTAAAAATTCTTTCATTTTATAGGATATTTATCAAGAGTTTCCTGAAAATCGTCGAATAATTGTATTTGTTTTATCTTGTCTCTTTATTTAATTAGAAGGATAAAAGTTCGAAAGTTCGAGGGAATAAACAAAATCTCTGTTCCGTGGAATTTTTTTCAATGTTTTGACGCGTCGTCTCGCGTGCCGGGATTTATTATCGTGGCATATTTTCAGCAGACGATACACAACGATCGTGTAGGTGTTGCGTATCGTTTTGAACTTGGCACACATTGACTCTATTTATATTTATGAGGGATCGATAATGGTCCGTTGTGAAAGTTAAAAGAAACAATTATAACCTTAACTATCCGATAAAAAGTAGAAGAAGAGAGAGAGAGAGAGAGAGAGAGAGAGAGAAGAAAAAACGTGATGGATGTTATAAAAATATCAGATATGAACGATAACGTGATGAAGTGATTTATTACGTGCACGAGGATCGAGAGAAAAAATGGTATCGGTGAAAAAAATCTTTTATCCGAAAAATCACTTGAATTACACTGCACATTTTTAAAAATTAAAATATATCTCTTATAAAAATTAGAAAATTCGCCATATTATAGTACCAATTTTTCTCTCCTCGTAGTATATTATTCGCCATGCACGATTCGATCGTGGTCGAAACATTTCACGAATAGATTCTAGATTTAAAATGGGAAAGATGATAATTGTAAAGAAAATGTACATTTATCGATATTTTCCCGATGTAGAACAATTTATCGCTTGTTTTCAAAGGAAACAGGGAAAAGCATAGATACTAGAAATGTTCACGGCAAAAGGAGCAGACCTACGTCATATTAGAGACGCGGAACAATGTGCATTGTCCTTGGCCTCGTGAGATCGCCTATGGCTCGATAAAGTGTTCATAGTCTTCTGAATTTTAAGCTCGCGGTGTGCATCCTCAGGAAATATTATAATACCTTGTGCGACAGAAAATCAACAAATTCCATTATCGAAGAGATTCTGATCCGCTTAAAATATCGAATTTAACGAACGCCGTTGTTTTCTTCGTTTTTCTTCTCTTTTTCCGTTTCTTCTATTTTTTGCTTCCTTTTCCTTTTCTTTTTTCTTTTTTCAACGCGATTTTTCACTTGAAGTAACGAAGAAATTCTCGAACGAACTAATAAATGAATGTCAGCCAAAAGAATTTGAAATTCCTATGTATTTTTACGAATCATTGTGAACATTTTTCGATGCCTGTTGCTTTTCGATGCAAACATTCTATATATTTATTACGTCGGCTATAAGTATTGGCCATTTGATCGTATCGAATCATATTGAAATTATCATATTTAAATTCATAATCAATTTATATTATTGGCGGATTAGAAAATAGAGAATATTAGAATCACGTGGTAAATAAATAAGATTTTTTAAATAAATTATCGAATACTTTTTGTAATTTTTGAATTTTTATAATCACATTGCTTTCTCTAATTTTAATCATTTCCACTTTTCTAATTATTTCATTCCATTTTTCCTGATGAGATTTAAATTCAATTAATTGTGATTGCTATTGCATAATTACAAATTCTTTCTCTAATGCGCGACTCTTTTAAATTAATTTTCACACTTTTGCTCTCTGTTTAAGATCATCTTGTTTATTCCAATTATATTAATTATTATATCATTTCATATTTCCATGCATTTTCAATAAAAAGGAAATATTATATTTTTAGAGATATACATCGTACTTCACTTCAATCAAATACTTCAAATATTTAAATTCACCAAATTCAAAAAAACAAATATACATTGTTTTCAACGCAGTTGGCTACTTTCCAACATTTTTCCCTGTTTCATTTGTAGAACGACATATTTTTTTCTACGCCCGAAGGCTATTATAAAAAAAAAAAAATATTTTTATCTCACAAAAGATTCTGCAACAATTGGTTCCTAGAACGAAACCATTGTTATCGAATTAACTCTTTGTCGGACGGTCGCAGTTAATAGTGATCTCATAATAGTTTTAACTCTCGAATTTTCGAATATACGGCCGTGAATCGGTCAAGGTCTGTAACGTTTCGAATAGAGAATTCATGGGTTCTGCAGTCTATATATATGTCATATCTCGACATATGGAAGTTCTCGAAATGCGTTTCGATTAAACGATTCGTCTCTTGACGCTAATAAATGACGCGGAACATCCTATTTCTATCGATGCAACGATCAACAAACAAGATCGAACAGCGGATCTTCGATTATCGGGTCGGGATATTGGAATTATTGACGGCAGGATAGAGATTTTAGAGGTTTTAGAGGTTTTAGAGGTTTCGTAGGAGGATACGACTATTAAATATAAATTGTTGTATTTACATTCGTAGAAATTATGAAATGAAATATTTGTTATTTAAATATCGGTTCGAGTTAATTTTTTTTTTTTTTTTACTTCGTTTTATTCTAGTTCGTTGAAATATATCATTGATTCGAAAATGAATCTATGGAAGTGGAACATGTAATTATTAAATATATATCGAGATATTTACATCTGTATAAATTGAAACAAAATTGAATAATCTCGTATAAACTTTTTATTTTATCAAATAATTGTTTATTTTATTTTATCGTTTCTGGAAATAATAATTTTAATAATTCAATAATTTGTTCCTTTTTAATCAACTTATTCTTCTTCAATTAAAGTCTATTAAGTATGTATACATCGCGTTATAGTTATTTTGATAAAAATTAAAAATTAAAAGTACTGATATTAATTTAACCAAAAGAACTTTCTGGCAGAAAGAACGATTCGATTAACAAGTTAAATAGCATTTTTTAACGTTTACATCGTTTTATTTCTATGAAGATACAGAAAGGTTGTCATTGTATTTGAGTTTGAAGAACTTTCGCTCGATTTGCAATATGAAATTTTCCTGCGTTTGCTGTGTAGAATGTTTCTATAGTATAATGTGAAAATTGTATTGAGATATTTTTGTATTTTCATACGAAAAGAGAAAAATTGTCTTTGTAATAACAATCTATAAAAATCTTTAAAATCATAATAAAATTAAATAAAAGAAAATTTTTCAATTCTACTTTGTTGATCAAATTTAATTAAATTACGCCCCAAGGAATTTATATATTTTTATCATCAAATACAATAAAATATTAAACAAAGTTTATTTTTAAATATACATAAATCAAATAAAATTAAATATTCGAGAAATCGAAGTGAATTTACTTTAAACATTTTTCACAAATCCTACATTATACGTTTCTACATTATAGATAATTTATTTTGTTTCCATCTCTTAAATCTTTCGAATTAAGAAGCGAAGGCGATTTTATCTGTGAAATAAACCTTGGATTAAACGTCTCGTAAAATGTCCACTTTATCTACGTATTACGATACGTTTTGAAATAAGAGATTATTTAGCTTTATAAAAAAGTAACTACATTTTAAAGAATCGTTATGATTATAAAAACGAAGATATAAAGCTTTAAAGTTTTAAATATCCTGTAATTAGATCCAATTATTTGATTTATTCCATCTCCACACATAGTTTCATTTAATCGTTTAAACTATCCTCTAAAGGGACATCTGTTGCACGCTGTAAGGGCTTAAGAGAAGCTTTTCTAAGATATTAATTCGATAAAACGAATAATTGACAAATTATGTCATTGAATAAAACAATTACTAATTTTAAGATTATTTTTATCTTTTTAAAATTAAAATGATCGATAAAAAAAGTTTTTATTTCATTTTCTTTAGAAATTGTACAAAATTTCGATACATATATAAATTTAAATAATTTATTAAATTATTAAAAGGATTATTTTGAAAATTTTGATATTCATCACTCGAATCAAAATTATAATTGAAAATACTATCAAATCAATATAATTTCAACAATACACGCAAAGAATGAAAGAAATAAATTTTTTTCTATAATTTCTCCAGAAAATTTTTATAATTATTAAATTTCCAAATCCTGTATAATTCTACAATCTTTAACTTTTATTCGCACAAATATTTCGTCATTCGTACACATTTTTCCTCCGGATCCAAATATCCAAAACGAAAATTATCAAACATTTATGGATCAATATTTCTTATCAATCTTCTTAAAAAACGTATCAATACATTTTACATCTTATACGCAAATATAAGTATCGATTAAACCGAATAACAATTTTCCCAAGTAAAACTTGTAATTTCGAAATACAAAATAAGTCGAATCGGAAAAAGACAAAGAGACCGTGGCATCGAACAATCGATACATTATGCAAACATCGGTTTGCAAGGATTCATTAGTATGCACAGCTCAACAAATTACAGGAATTCCGGGTAACATTGCCAAACCAAATACTGCCATTATCGTGTCACGTGCAGATTAATTAATTATCAATCCATGTTTGGCCAAACATGCAAATCCTCCGGGACCTGCATCTTCCTGTCTTCGAGTTTCGTCAATCCTCGTCGTCGGCTCCGGTCAGCTCGGAGGCCGTGTCATTCTCTTCATCCACGCACGTGTCCCCGTCGTCATAAGTGAAACACGGTGTGACATAAGTCTTCTGAACATCGCACACGTCCGACTTGCTGGATTCCGTTTCCTCCGTTGGCGATTTCCGTTTCAACAGTTGTAATACTTGGTTGCTCACCTCCTCCTCGGGAAGCAAGAAGGTATTGAATTTGTCGATCATGTTCAGAATCGAGACCAACGCATTCGTGTGCTCCGGCTCGAACATCTTGCCCTCTGGATTTTCTCTGAACAGATATTCAGCCTGGAAAACAGGGGTTGGAATTAGAAATTTCAAGGATGTTGATAATATTTTATCGATGGCCGTTTCACAAGAAATTTGTTTCTGTTTGAAAATCTGTTGAAATGAAAAGATCGAAAGTGAAAGTTTCGTTGAAAGCGATGATCTTGCGCTTTTTTTCTTCCCAACGTTCAGTTCGATTCTTGCACATCATGAATATTGTTACTATGTTATAAATGAGTTAAGAAAGTAGTTTTGAATTCAGTACGATAATTTAATAAAAGATAGAAGATAATATATTCGTTTAAATATCACCTCGAATCGTTACAATAAAAGTAAGAAAAAGAAAAAGGAAGAAACGAAAAAATTTCCAAATAAAATCACTCTATTTTATCCGTATTTTATTGTTCCTTTCATCATGTAAGAATATATACTTCAAAAATCCTAGAAACGTCAAGTAAAAGACACTCACGGTTCTCCATTTCATTCGTAGCGAAATAAAGGCGTACATAGATAGTTGTAACTTCTAACTAAAAACGATTGTGAAAAATTGCTCGATGCAATTTTTATTAACACGCACTTGAAATACGCAATGCCATCAAAACGAAACACGCATAACACGCGTCTCGTTATTCTTTCTGGAAGCTTGATGCGTTCGTGACGCCATTTCCAGCGTACATGCATTCCGTTTGAAAATGGGTCGTTCTTTGGTTAGCCATTCTTTGACCCACTTCCTCTCTTAATCTCGATTGCTCTCCATTTCGCTATTTAACGAATAACGATTATCGCCTTTCCCGTTCTTTGATGTTGCCACGTGGATTTCGTGCGAATGAAAGGGAAAGAAAAAACAAAATAGGCTCGATTTTACTTCTGGAAACTTTCGCGAAAAATCCAATAAGAGAGTAAAGTAATTGGAAAATTCTGAAATATTGATTGGCGAATTGTTTTCATCGTGTTAGAATTTTTTCGAATATCGAAGTTTTAATTGTTCGAAGAGATACGAAGAGAGAATTTTGATTTGATGATATTGTCGATGGAATTTAATGATATGATGAAATTTTGATGAAACGTGAAACGGTTGAAAGAGTTATTTCGTGAGCGAATATGTGCTTGTTAATTTGTTGAATGTAATAGGTGGCGTGCTTGGGTCGAGAAGCAACCTATATGTGTGTAATTAATACGGTTTAATCTAAGTTTAAACAGAGTTTGAACCGCTATTCCAATTATTTTTTTTAATTATATTACGAAAGGAAAACTATGTTTAGAAAGATAAAAAAAATTGCATATTTAGTAGATTTTTTTCTGTATTGAATAATTAATTTTTATTTTTTTTTAATTTCTGCAATTTATGTTTGAAAAATTACACGCAATAATTTATGAACAAACATATAAATTTTGAAAGATAATTATTTCATAAAATAATTATTGAAAGATGGAAGAATAAGAATCTTATGAATATAAAGTTAATCATAGCTTTTTTTTTAAAATTCTAATATTGTATAGAGATAAAAAATATTGTATAATTTTATTTTTTTTTTATAAAGTTTCTTTATAAAGATATAAAATACATTATCTTTATTTTATAAAAACTTCGATAAAGAAAGCGAATTCAATGAATCCCTATGATGCGACCTTCGAATAATTCAAGGTCACAGGGGAGTAAGAGTTGTTTGAACAGACAAGAATCGATATGTCTGGTACATAATGTTCGCAGTTTATTTACAGACCGCGTTCGAAGTTTGCACACTGTCTGCTTGAAAAATGTAATTTTGTACTAAAAAAAAAAAAAAAAACTTTTCAAAGCCGTTAAAGTTAAAGACGAATACAAAGTGTAAAATCTTTTTCGAAGTCTAGTACAGAACTAAGTATGGAAAGGTGAAAGACTTAGTAGCAGTTTCTTATGTTTTTACTAACTTTTAGGGGGAAAACTGTTCTTTCTGGATTTAAAAATTAGAAATATAATTAAAAATTTTCAGTAAAAATATTCGTTTGAGAAAATGAATGAAAGCTAAAACAACTTCAGCAAGATTATTTTATAAAAATTATCAATGCACATACAAATTATCGTTCAATTATTTGTTCAAAAATTTTTAAACATATAATTCAATTATTTTTATCAAAATTATTTTTTTTAAAAAATCCATTGAATCCAGGACATTCTATTCATTAAAAATATTTTATTAACTCCTTATTACCTCCATTTTTTATTTTCCATCCCTAATAAAACTCTATCTCACCAAAGAATTCAGTATCATCCAAACAAGAGAATCAAACGATTCGTTATCAGATCCCCATTAAATCGATTTCCTCATTAAAAGAGTATATTTCCTCTTTCGAAGACAATCCTCGTTAGTCTTGCGTAATTGAACGAGCAAACGAATTATAATGTCTACCAATTCCCGGAAACTTAATTCGAATGCACAGATGTGCTTCGATCTCGTCGCTCTATTATTTAAACCAGTAAATCGACGATAAACCAACAATTCCGGTGGATTAAAATATATCAATTCGATTAAATTCGTATCAATGACGTAAGTATTTTATGTACAATCGCGAGAATATTCTTATTTAAAATAAACATTGAATAAACAGAAACAAATGAAAGAAATACATAGAAGAATTATAATTAACAATTAAAAATAAGCTTATTAAATATATTAATATATATGTATACATACTTTATATTATTCTATTATATATTATTATTAAATATTTACAAAAAAATTTTCTTCAAAGGCAAATACTGTCTATCAAATACTCCCACAAATCATTATACATCAACGTGATCCACGTGGAACAAAGTATAAATATCTTACAATTTATCGATGCTTTAAATATTCTTTAATAATTTCGTTGAAAAAAAAAATGGCACAATTTTCACTTAATCTCGTTTTAATGAACGAATAATTCTGCAATACATCCTACTGAAATGAACAACCATGTTTTGTTGGTACTTTATAAACACTTTTTAGTAGTTTCATCGAGGATGAAATGATATTTTTCATTAAATCTCGAGTAAGATTGATATCCCAAAATTTCAATGGCTGTCACGTCGTTACATGTACATTTGTAATTCGAATTTATTTATTTCGCGTATCGTATACGGCAATACGTCTAGAAGTCTCATCATTTATTCCCATTCCCCTCCCTGTTTCAAGGGTTGAATTTCCAAGTTACGTTGAACAAGAAGTTTATTTATTAAAGCTCACCGACGCGCGTGGCATCTCGTTATTGTAGAATACAGTTGTCTCCTCGATCGATATTTACTATTTCTCTCAAATTTCTCCAATGTTTATTTATCTCGCAAGTAATGTGCTGTTTAACTAAGAAAATTTCGCATGGAAATATTGTTCCATAATGGATAAGCACAAGAGGATACTTGGATGGTTTGGTTCGTATATATAAATTGAGAAAAATTTTAATTAACGACGTAATTAAAATTTTATTATTTAAATAAATTTTATTAGCAATTAAGAGTTTAATAAATGGTTCAGTGAAGTATTTTGGTTAATAAGAATCTTCAAGAAAGGAAAAGAAAAAATTTATCTTTTGGAATTTTGCAGTAGAACAAGTAATTTCGTTTAAAGATTAATCTGTTGAAATTATTCATTAATCAATATTAATATTAAATTAATAATTTAGAATAGTTGAAATCGGTATAATTGATGTAATAAAATAATAAAGTAATAATTATATGTACAAAGTTACTTGAGAATATAAAATTCTTCAACTCAGTTTCAAACATTTCTAATTTAGAATACCGTAATACAAACTATTGTCGCATAATAATGAATGTTTTAAATATTTTGCAAACTTGTCCATTAAAACGAGGAACTATATAATATCGAATTCCACAATAATTAATCTTTGTCTTATTAATTATTTCATCGATCAAATTGAGTCAAAAATATATTTTAATTTTACCGTAAAAACCAAAATTGAAAATTTTGGAAATTACGTATTCATCAGAATGTAATAATGTGTCAATGCAAACATTTTTGTAGGTTTTTTTTTATAATTTTCAATAAAAAATTCGTTCGACGATTTTTGAATTAATTGGCAACATCAATCGCATGTCGAGTGAGAAAAATATGGGTTTGAGATCCGTCTTAGCAGTCTGATCGAGAAATTCTTTTTCTCCTTATAAAATAAATGCAATTCTAGCTTCTATGGGATCTAACAAAAGACGACACGTATTGTACAAGAAAATCAGTTCGCAAGTATGTCGTTCATTGTGCGCAACAATGACAAGTTTGCCTTGTATTATAAATTGGCGACATCGTTCTCAAAATATTGCCTATTACATTCACTTCGCGTATTATTAGACGCAAAGACATATTTTCAAAATAAAAAATATTATTCTTTAAATTTTTTACTACTACTTTTATATACTGGAATATAAATCTATTTTCGCTACAACTTCACGTTATTAATGTCTTAATATGTCCAATTTCGTTAAAAGAAAAATAAGATCAAATAAGAATTAAACGAATATCGAATCAAGATTAAAGTTAAAGTGTTTCCTATATTTAATTAATGTAAGTGGTTTTTTTTATCTTTTATATTATCTTGTTATCATGTTTAATCAAAATGATCGAAATAATAATATACATACATTAATCGTGAAATATACGTTTAAAATTCGAGCCAATACTTTCTATTTAAACGATTGAACAAGCTTCAATGAGCATAAAAATTTCACAAATTTCACAATACTTAGCTTCACCTTTCTCGAAGCAATTTTATCCTACATTGCATCCAATGATTTGATATCAATAGAGATGAACGACATCAAAATTGTTCCATTATCGTGAATTGATGATTAATGAAGAAGATCGATGCTCCATAAAATCCAAACGATAAATTCAAACTCGGATTACACTACGCGTTGCATCCCGCTAGACCAAACTACAAACTCCCGCGTTTCAATATTCAAGGATCAAAATTAAATTTCAGCAGAGCATTAGCTTTAACGTTCTCTTTTGAATTCCATGCACCATTAAAACTTTGAGTCTCTGCATCAA